TGCACTACGTAGTCTACGTAGGCAGTACATTTGCAGTGATCCATCATCAAAGGGAAACAAAGCCAAAGTTTTCAGATGACACCGCAAAATTTTTAGCTGACTGTATGCTCCAGTTGCTAGAAGCAACGAGAGTAGTTGCTTCATGAAGCGATTCGCTGTTGACAGGCCTCATCTGTCACGTTCTGTACAGGATTGACATCCACACCACATTTCACGTGGACAATGAATTCACTGAAAGGCAGTACCTACATTGGACCTACTTATGCCTGATGGCCGAAACAACTGTGCATAAAAGATCAAATGTGTTCAGCACGATAGGTTCTGTGTTAGTCACACCAGCAGTTAGATGAAGGTTAAACTTAGCTAAACAACCTACACAATCGTACCAACCCGAGCAATCTCAGAGAGCGAGACCTCCTCAAGTAGCACTCATCTATAGCACTGCAAGCATTAGTAGACGGGTATCGAGACATATTTGGCGACTCGTACATCTTTCGGGAATATTTCGGGAACATGAGCTGCATGTGGATGGCCTGCTGCATCCATGACACTCTATATCACTAACTTATACATGAAAATGTCTGAGTTATCAGCTATCATGCTGTAGGCTGTTTCGCCGAATAGGGGTATGTCAACGTGCATTCTACATACGACCCCAAAACTCAACGTCATAGAAATGGTATATCGTCCCTAGAGAAACGACAAGTACTACTTGAATATTACCAATGAGGATTCCACGAAATCAAACAAGTTGGGGTTGCTAGGCCCTCTTAGATCCTACTTCCCTTCCCCTGTTATGGACAAACAAAGTGAAAGCTCGTTTCGTACCTGCCAAGCCAAGCCTTTTCTTTTCCTGTCTACGCGGTTCGGAGGTGAAACGCCCACATTGGACATGATCTTTACATGAATTCTCAGAGCATGTTAGATGCAGAGGAAATCTATAACGTTGTTCTGGGAAGGATACATGAGTTGAAGCTTATAAGTAGCCTCATTGCAGTACCTGGTAGTGGATGAGTCGCTTGGAACCCAACCAAAAATATTTGCGCCTCGAGTAGCTGAGGTCTTGCGTCACGTGCGATCCGCCAACATAGATGTTTTTAATTGGAGGGATCAAAGTGGTACGTGAGCTCGTGATCAAGCTGTGAAAACTCTCCGGCTTCAGCTAAGCCTGGTTTTTTGAAGTGATAAATTCTGAATAGGCCATACTTGCATGTACGCTTTTGTGAATTTTGCTTCTGGGCGAACTGGTAGATAGAGTGTCCTCATCTTTGAATACATATCAAGCTAAGTGATGTGCAAGCGTTTGAGGAGACCTACATACGGGTTCAGAAGCTGCGTTTCTTCACACAAGCATGATTGGAAAACACACTTACGCGTCTTCTCAACACTCAAAGGCCTGAAATGCCTTCAATGTTTAGTTTAGACTGAAAGATAGACGTCGGTAGACTTCCCATCCACTCAAACCACATTTGCTGGAAATGCCATTACGAGTAACCTTGTAATCGCCTACCCTTCGCGAGGCGTGAGATACGTGGATACGTGACAAATTTCAGCAGTGAAGCATCAGTGCCAACACTGATGTTGCTGTCATTATCAGTGCCCACACTGATGTTACTGTCATTGATGATGATTGATGATGATGACAAATTTCAGCGGTAGTTGGTCGGTACCTAATAGGCTTAAGTTAGCTGTGTGAATTAGGCTGGATAAACCCATTCTCCCTAAGAAAATAATACATCAGGGAGACTACCCAATACTGGCATGGGGAACATTTAGTGGTTAGATTGGTCCTCTGGACTAGCGATGATCGTTGCACTGAGCAGTTACGTCACTCATTCATGTGACACCAGCTGAGGAAAACAAATGATGGAACTGCTTAAAAGGAAGATGTTTCTCATCTATCCTTCTTTATTAATTGCGTTGAATGTTTCAAAATGGGTCACCATATCTTCGTATATTTCAGAATCAACGGCTGACTTACTAATTTCTTGTATCTGTGGCGCTTTTAGCGCAAGTCCCGATTATACACACTACACTCTAGCCAGAAAATCAGACAGCATCAAAGTTTCGGCTCTTCCTGCTTCTCAGTTCCACGTAGCTAGTCTGAAATGTACATTGGTACTTCCCTTCCCGTCATTCTAAGCTTTTTTTAAAAGGGAATTCACACAAACCTAAGTTGCGGCAGGCACAACAGAACACTAATCCATGATCTAAAATTCTTGTCTGAAGTGTGACAGTGCCATTCGTAGATTAATGTGATCACGTGTTCAAGACATAATTGGTCCAAAACGTTAAATCGAATGCATATCACTTCTCATCCATGGAAAACCTAGCAGCATCCGTGTTCATTTCTCAGTCTTTCAACCTGAGCAGAGAATACAGGTTGCTCTGAGTGCAGCAAAATGTTTTACTGCAATCTGACGAGAATATGAGACGGTTATTCCAAAGCAACTTGGTAAAGAAGGAAGAAATACTTTCCCCATCAACTCTCAGTTACTGTGTATATATCATACACTCCAAAGGATCGTATTAAGGTTTAAGTTATGGTCACAATATCTCAACTCGACGAGTGCGATGTTTGGGCGAAAAATCAACACCCTCACTTCAGAGGATGCTACGATATCAGGGTTTGCAGCGTGGATTATTGCAGCTGACTTGCTGCAAAATCGGCCCAACGTTCTTCTAGTTCACTGTTAACCAATCTTCACAGAGATACTTCTCGTTTAACTTTGAAAGTGCATTCTCCTATGGCCGTGTCTAATCAAACACTGTGCCCAAGATCTGTACGTTCTAGGAACATGATTCAATTCCAACCCATGTGGTCGACGCCTTCGAGGGTAGGTTAACACAGGACCCATGTCCTCAAAAGGTGATCACTGACCACTCAACACGAACGACAGCAGGGAATTCCACTCAAACCAATTGCAATCTGGTCGTTTCCACTGTACCCATTAAAACTGGATACACTTTGTTAATCAGCCAGTGTCAAAATAAGCCTGCAGGACAATACCCTCAAAAGCGGACTAGTCTGACAGGATACACGCGGCCATCCAGGGTCACGAGACCGACTACTCTCAAGCTTCTACCACTTTTAACTGAAAACGCCTGCTAGATCGATTCGTTACCACAATGGCTACTTTGTATGAATTTGGGCCTGACGTAGCGTGATCCGTTTTTCTGTTAGCTAATGATTTCAAAGAACGTCATCACACCCATCTCAGAGAGCATTTCCGTTATCAATCTCAACAATTGGTGACGATGAGCGCAACAAATCGCTTTTCCGGTCTCCACAAATGAGCGTTCCTGGGGCACAAACGGTAAGCAACCAGCGTCGACTCCTTTGATTGGAGCCAGATCACAATCGGCTACCCCAGAAGATCCTCATTTAGATGACCTTGCTTGGATAACTTTTATCGCCGTCTAATTATCCGATGCGCGCAGGTCATGCAGCCCCCAAAGATCTCCTCCGTAAGTGGCCAGAACTTTTCATTCTTCTGATGCTGTACAAATGACATCCGCAATGCTTAAAATAGCGATTGTCAACATCACCGGAGTGATCAAGTATCATGTCGCTGCTACGTATTGTTCGCTAGGGACGCACCTAATATAGTAGTTAGCGGCACATCTCCTTTATCGCTCTTCTCTCTGAATCAGAGTTCTTTCACTGCCTTCATACTAATGGAGTATCCTGCGAGATGTTCTACCATACGTACTCCACTTTGTCATCCCTCCATCCTTTCGCTGCGCAGTTTTCGACGCCATACACTTTTCCTCATCAAGGGGTGCGCGCATCCGGACATCTGATCACTGATACATACGGTCGAAAGCCGTCACCGGCGTTCGGTGCTGACACGGACTTGCCTGTACTGCCAGCGCAGCGAAATCCTGTGTCACACAAATGGTTTTTCAACCTTAGCGACCGTTTCTTACAAGCACGTGTTTATCTAGTGAGATACTTACAGCTACCAAAAGATCATCGACACATCATTGTATGCACCAGCCACTTTACTCTGTGGTCAAAGCCAGCGCTTTTAACTGATTGTTTTAGGGAAACCATCGCCAGTACTTTCCCTGGGATCTGGGTCGTCCAATACCGATGTCCCGTTGTGGTCACTACGGAACGGGATTACATTTTAAAGACGGCTTATTGACCCTCGTGGACAGACTGAGCATGAAACACGTCAGTAGGACAACTAACAATAGATAACTAGGCCTTTCTATTGACATTTATTAACTGCGTTGGACGCTTACGAGAACCTCTCGTGAAACGAAGTTATTTTGTTGGTCACCTTTAGCATTCATAGCACGGTTAGGCGGCAGGCTCATTACAGGCCAAGTGCATCAAATTTATCGATACTCCTAAACCTTTAGACGAGTTTGCCGAGTCTAGAAAAGGGGTGACGAAACATTACAATAGATTTGTGGAGACTATATGCGCAAATTCAATCCTGCTGACTTTCGACCAGAGTACCCAAACTCTGACGCCCGTCCACGGCCCTTAATCTGCAGGTTCGTCTTCTCGACAGATAACGAAGACCGTGCCCATCCTCTAACTCCAAATGAATGGTCTTGTAAAGTACTTATTTTCCGGTACATGAAGCCAGTCTATCCTTAAAAGCTTAAAAGCGCTACGCAGTTGTTGCATCTGTATTGAGAATCATCAGCTGTGAACAGTCTGATTTCGAGCTAATTTAACTGCGGATCAGTCACTTGTGCCTGAACGGACGTGTTCAAAGTGCTAGTCGTGAGTCGTGAGTTCGAGATCCCCTGAGGTTTCGTTATGTGAGCATTTCTGAAGGTTCCAAATAAGGATGGAACTACCGTACAGCGCTTCTCAGATTTCTGGCATACGTTGGCCTCCATTAATTGAAAGTACCCTTACACATGACCTTGGTATGTCTTGTCGCTAGCATCTTAGAAAATGATGATGTGGGTGAATAAGGTTACAACCAGTTGTAACTATGGCAACTAGGCAGAATAGGAGTTAACATCGCACTTACCTTTGCTGTCAGTGGAGTATTGCGTGAAGCGATCGTCGGGTCAATCATTGTTTCAATGCGTTTTAGTTCGTTTTCCATCTCTGCTTGTAAATCTTTGTCCTCTGTTCCCCTAACCAAGCGATTCAACAGGGTTTTCTGTTTTGCCATTTGATGAACAAGTTCACGACTGAGCTCCTCGTTTTGTGTGGCCTTTGAAGACAAAAGAAAAAGACGCTAAAATTTAATCCATTGTGGAGCCTGTTTTTGACGCATTGCGCAAACTTTCATATCATGATAACATGTTGCTTTTGGCCATTGGGAGTTCTGAGCGGGATACTAGTTGCATTATACGGCAGTACAACTCATCTAGATTTTTATTATCATTTTCACGTAAAATCTCTGACATACCGAATATTCTAGTTCGTTTTGGCATTGGTCCAATTTCGAATAAAGCTCAGAGCAGTAGTTATTCAATAAATCGTTGGCGCGTTTCAATTCGACAGCTCGTTTAGATGCCTCGAGTGCCTTCGCTGCTATGGATTCCAATTCTTGGTTCTAAATATGGTCGAAACAGAGAATTAAGTAGAATATCTATTCTCGTCGATGACCTTGATAATCACACGTATGTGGAATCATCGACGTCACAATTAACTGTTAAAGCAAACATTCCGGAGATGGGAAAATTCTCGCAAGAGATTTACCTCAAGGTTACAGATGTGTTTCGAAGGTGCTAAGCTTACTCAGTAACGAGACGTAACAATATTGTTGTAAAAAATTGGAAACTAATTCCATAAATGTTGAAGTTACGACAGGAACCCAGTGGATGCTATCGATAGACAACAAATAATGAATTATATATCGCCATTTGACAACTGAGAAATTCCTTAACATGACAAGACTTTTGTCTAGAACCAAAACGAACGTTCAAGCGTCCAGAAGCTTATTCAATTCTAGTATGCGCTCGATTTTTTCCTCATTGTAACTGGACAGAATGCAGGTAAGCCGATAACGTATGGAGCATTCTTGTATCCTAATAGGTCATAAGCTATTTTGGCAGCTTCGAGGTCATAGCAATGAATTTATAAACTCTGAATTTTCATGAAACCTATCCGTAGATCCTGACTGATTCAGTATAAGTGCGATGACTGCATAAAACAGATTTGGTTAACTCACTTACTAATGCGGGAGATCTTAATTTGTACGAATCTTAGTCCTTGCCAGAATTCAGAATACACGCAATTGCACTAGCTGGATGCAAGAAGAGTCCACATAACGGCGAAAAATACGGCATTTCCGTTCGACACCACTGAAAGCACCGCCAGTCTTTGGCATTTGTTAATGTTATGATAGCTGTTCATTTTTCCTGACTGCTATTGAATCCAGACACCCAGACAAACATGCTAGCAGAAAGAGCACATTAACTGGATTTTCTTAATTTGTGCAGAACAGATAACCAAGCAGACAGCATTCTTGTTTTCTTGAAAGTTAACTACACCGCGGTAGGCACTAGTCTAATCTTGTTACTTCTGTGCTATTTGATTCCTTTTATTAAGCGCCTGACGAAGGTAGTCCAGAGTTAGAAAAATTCCCTCACCATTAGCGAATATGCACTCATTTGCAAACTAAGTTGGTTTTTCGAGAGACTCAACTGGAACCCAGCTCAATCTCCCGTTTTTGATGTTCTCAGACAACTGAATGTGCTGCACCAGACCGCCTCATGTTTCAGTCGCTACGATATTCGAGATATCGCGATATATGTGTGTCTTTGTAATGTACTACTCATAAGGTTGCTGAAAATTCTTCGACAACGCACGACCGGTTTCGCACTTTTTGGGGCTCATCAGATAGGCGCGGTCCCCGCGTTTCCGTCAGCCTTATTTTCTACTTGAAACATTGTGCTCTTCTATCAGTAACTGACCTGATATCACATGCAGAGCACAATCTATTCGACCTCATTCACTCTTCAACAATCAAACTTGGGATTACTTCCTCCTACGTACGTTTCAAAACGTGCATAGGAAATGTCACCGTATAAAGAAACCCATCGTTACTCACTCATAAGGCTTGCGGAAATTCAGGTTATCCCACTACTTATTTCGTCCATTTTTAGACTCAACATATGGGCTTAGTTCCCGAATTTTCGTTAAGCTTATAACCTAGGAGTGCAATTAAAACTTCAGCTAGGTCTGGATGAATACTCTCACTTGCAAATGATTCTGGTTTGGACGAAAGACTCAACCGAATCCTGCTAAATCACTTGTTTATTGTGGTCCGCCTCAACTGAGTGTGCTACACTAGGCAGCCTCATGCTTCACGATATTGGCGGTATCGCGTGTAAGTTGTTATCCAGACGTAAATCACTACCCATAGGGTTGCTGAAAACTCACCTTGGGTTCAAGTAGAAGACAGCACTGACAAAAAGTCGAGGACTTCTCCTACCTACTGAGCTCCAGGAGAGGTAAAAACGGTTTTGTACTGCTCAAGAGTTTCCAGCAGCCTTACGAGTAGTGTGGTGTGTGTATTCAGACATGTCCCCTTTCAGCACCAGCGTACTTTGCAGGTGAATATCGGTTGCAAGATTCCTTTTGTTTATTCCGTATCAGACACTGATTCGGCATCAACAAAGCTATTCTGGTAGCAGAAAAAGTTAGCTGTTCTTGATAACGAGCAATGGAAATAACACTATCAAGACCACATCCTAAAAAATGCATACAAATTACACTGTGTCTGTCTACCTGAAACATGCGCTGGCATGAAACTACTATACTATACTATACTATACTATATATACTATCCTATACTATACTATACTATACTATACTATACTATACTATACTATACTATACTATACTATACTATACTATACTATACTATACTATACTATACTATACTATACTATACTATACTATACTATACTATACTAAAAAAACACTTGTGACCTGGGTCATTGGGTTACAGCTTATTCTACTGAAGGGCATTTTTGTGCAAACAGTGAACGAATCGCATATACCGAAACACAAGTTCACCGAGCGCTTGTACGAACTTTTGGATACAGACGTCCTTGAAAAATTTTGACCCGTTCGGTGAGATGGCCTGCTGCGGATCTTAGAGCTAAGCTCGAGAAAAGAGATAACAGTTTAATGTGCTCCGAATGGTGGATCACGTTCAAGATGGAATGTTTTTTAAAAATTATGTTCGGAATGTCCTTAAAACCAGAGGTGGTTTGGAACTGATTAACGAATAAACCTCACTCACTTTGATCCGCAGCTCCTGTATTTGCACTTCGGAGGCTGCAAATTTATCTGCAATTATCACTCTGTCTTCTTCACTGGTAAGCCAGAGTTTGGAAATTCTGACTCGTTCTTCAGTTGCATGCGCGACCTCTTCATTTAGCCGTTGAAGACGACCATTCAGATCATCAATATGATAACGCAAGTTTTGCTGTGCACAGCGATCAATTAATGGGAAACGGAAAACTTGTTATGAAGAGAGTAAAAGTTTGTGGTGGATAGAATATCTAGGAATCACTGACTAGACCTTGTATTGTCTGTCATGATTATCCCAAAAGAACAATAGTCTTTTCAATCAATTGGAAAATGTTTGGGACCGATTGGGAAGTCATCGTTTCAGAGGGGTTTGGTAAACAATCGGTGGATTTATTGCTGGGCAACGTTTCGCTTTTGACGCAAAAGCTTCGTCAGGCCAAGTGAGTAAGTAAGTAGGTTGATTGGGTTTTAAGGTAGTCAGGGAACCAATCCGTGAGATTCCTTATGACTAGTGACGTGATCAGTGCTGGGTGTTCAGTCTATGTCCCTGTTTGTTGATTAGTGCGATGACTAAGCTTTACGATAGATTGTTTAGGGGGGGGGGGGTTCGTCTCTATGATGAACCCGGATTTTTTTCGTCCCTGCTTCTTCTAGTCTTTCATAAAGGAAACTACTCAGAAGTTTGCTGAGCTGAATTCTATCTTTTGAGTAGTTTCCTTTATGAAAATATACTGCGATATCTCGAATATCGTGCCAACTGAATCATGAGGCGGCCTGTGTGCAGCCTATTCACTTGGAGGACATCATAAACGAGAAATTCAGTTGAGTCTCTCGTGAAAACCAAATTGATTTGCAAATGAGTGTATCTCTCGAGAACAATAGTCTTTCATCAAAATCGCTCTGAAATTTACCAGTGATCGGAAATTTGGTCTTGTTGAAAACCAAAGGGAGATAGGTAACATCTGGGTGTCATGTGTAGTTGCCTAAACTGTACGTATATCACTCCTGCTTCTTGAACCATCGAAGTTGAGTCTCCAGAAAGAGGATGAATCGTCCGGCGAACCGATAACTGTTCTGTTGACTGTTCTGTTTTTTTCGGACACAGTAATTCATAAGACCCTGAAATTCTAATTACAAACATGTTAACTTTACACTGCTTTTGTGTATGTGCTCAGTCAAAATAATAACCCTGATAAGATTCAGTCGTCATATGCCGGAAAGTTATTGATTTGTTTGAGGCCATTTGAAATCTTTCGCATGAGTGGTCATCATAAGCTGTGTTTGCAAGTAATTTGATTGGTCCGTCTGGAATCGTCTTGCGTAGTGACCCCATTCACACAACACAGATTCCAAATAGACCAACCGGATTGCGTGTAAGCCGAATTTCCAACAACCGGGCATCTGAACACAAGTAGATCTGGAAGAAATACACACCAGATAGCCCACTATGCACGTCTCCTCTTATGGGAACGAATGACTTGCAAGCCGAGTGCCACGCTCGGCAAACAGACCAATTAATGTCTGACTGACAATCAGTAGAGCTACGCGATCAACCTATATTTTTATACAGTGCCAACGGAAAGGCACCGCCCAGAGCTGGCTTCAGTAGCACTGGCCTTGCTTCGATCATGAGTGTACTTTCGGGAAACATCGTTTCGGTCCTGGTACGTTGAATAAACTTCACACGTTATAGTTGGTTAGCCGCACTTCGTCACACTGTGGTGGCGGAATCCATCAGAATGATCAATTCTGTTCCATGGGATGTTGTGGATAGTGCCAAAAAGAGCTTAGCAACTTGTTCAAATTCTTAAACCTATGAGCTTTGGTGCCCTCAAGGTGCTGCGACAGCAGAAACAACACTGCGCTATACTACTAATCACATTGCTCGAAGATTGCCTCTTCAGACTCTAAAATACTTGCACTATCAACTGTAACACTTGTGCATTGTTTGAATGTCTATAGAAATATCCCTTCTAGGCATTCCACCCTTGCCTAGAATTCCACTGCACTATTTAAGGTCTTTGGAACATTTCCTCTGTAACTTTATCCAGGTCTTTCATTGCAACATACTGTGTGAGTTTACCAAGTGATTTTGATGCACTGCTAAGAAGCAGCAACGTTTTACAGGTTTTTCGGTAAGATCGTTCATACGGGTAGAGTCTCAAGCATCGACCCTTGAGATGGGCTACTACATGCCAGCACGTAGAGCAGACCCATACTAATGGAATCCCTCTTTTGAGGTAAAAACGAATGCACTCACTGAGAAAGCCTTCAAGTAAAAAATCCCTTCACTACACTGCTGTTCGAAATTTATCAAACAGATAAAAGAGAATAAGCAGAGCACGTTTCTCAGTTAAGGAATAGCTCGTGTTTGGGAATTTTCGTTCGAAAATTTGCTTTCAAAGATGGGTTTCAAATCTTCCCTATTTAACGACCTTTGGTCACCATTTACAGCACCTTGAGGCGAGACTTGGAATTCTGGTGTATCCTACTTTGTGATTCCACGAATCGTGTGGAGCCACAGGGTTATCTTCTGCAATAATGCGTTAGAAATCAAAGCCTCATATGAAGCTGCACGAAATATGCGCAACATGCCGCATGAGAGTTAGGCTGAACCAGGCTACTCGATCCTCAATAACTAGTTGAATTCGATCATTCCTGCTCTTGTTGAACAGTCATGGCGAGCTGAACTGCCAAAATCTTCACGTGTCCTGCCGGAAGGCCATAAAACCTGTGAAGAACAAAAGCTGAAGCGTGTCTTCACGGAACCATGAGCCGCTTAATAAATTCACATGTTTATGGGTTTCACTCTTATCCGCCTAGGTTTCTCTTGGCATGAATTCAGTATGGCTTGGGGGCCCAAGCTTAGTGTGAAAAGGATCAAATAAATGGTTACCATTCTCCAAGATAACTCACAGAATTTTCTATTGCCGATGGTTCCGGAACTCTTGTAGGGTCCGGGAAGCCACATATGTTGGAATGCTGACGATGGAAGACATCTTCCAGGAAGAAGTTCATTTCCCTATACCGGGATGCCAATAGCAGTGCAGACTCGTCGTTCAGAACAGGTGCGTTTGTTATTCGAGTTAGTCCTGATGCCATATGGAGTAGCGCTGCGTGAATTTGTGGACTGGGGCTGGGTGGGATGCTAAGAATCACTCTGGTACAGCAATTTCCACCAAGTTCCTCCGTCAGTAACCGTGTCAGGATGGAAAGGCTTGAAACAATAAATTTTAGGGAGCAGCACATTCAGTTGCCTGGAAACATCGAAACCGACAGATTCAGCTGGGTTCCAGCCGAATCCCTCGAAAAACCACATTAGTTCGCAAATTAATGTATATTCGTTAATTTCGTGCAATTTGGTTTCAAGTGGAACATAAGGTTGACGGAAACTCAGGAACTGCGCCTACCTGGTGAGCCACAAGAAGGGCGAAACCGGTCGTGTGCTGTCGAAGAGTTTTCAGCAACCTTATGAGTAATGCATTACAAAAATAAAATTTAGGGACGTTTGTCACATGTTCTCAGCCTTGATTCAAAAATAAATCTAAGCGAGTAGAAAGGCAAATTCACGCTTCATGAAACATTTGGAAAACTTTTAAATTCAAAAAGTGTGTCGAATGGACTTTGAAAGTGGTCGTGACATGAACTTCAATTTTCCGATAACTCCGTCTGACTAACAATGCTGTAAATAAGAAACAAGCATGTGAACCTGGACAATAAGTCGTTCTCCACCAGAAGCGACCGATTCCACGATAGTTTCTACAGGCATAAGAAAAAAACGTTGCCGCTTGATTTTTCCCTGCTATTTTAATCCCTTTAGGTTAAAAACAGTTTTGGAAGCTCTGCTGCGTCTTCCCTACCTTGCGCTGTCATAAAAAGCAGTTGTATTTCATGAACAAGATACATTTATTTTTCTGTTTCGTTGTTAAAAGACGGCTGATGATGTGGGAAATTTTGTTTTAGGTCTCTATGTGTTCACATTATTTTCAGTTTTATCACTAAATACTCCTGTTATTCGAACAATAATTAATTCTGTACACACATGTTGGGAGCAACTTGTCCACCTATATACAGAGGTGACAGTGGCTTCAAATGCTGAGTTTATGTCATCATTGTTGTTGATAATTCAATTGAGGATTTTTTTAAATAAATAAACAAATAATAATAAGATGATGGTTTACACTGAGGATAAGAACTTTGACGAAATTATTCGAATACGGCTTCTCTCTGGTCAGCTGACAAAGATATCAAATACTTTATGACTATGGCATGCTCTAAATATTCACCTATGTTTATGTATTTCAAGTCCAGGAGAGCATTTGTAGCAAATTTGTGAATATTTAGCGGTCTGTCTCGTAAAATATGGATTCAAGCATCAATAAAGAACGCCGACTCATATCTCTCCCTTAATTAAATTCAATGTTAGTCTATCCGGTTGACCATATCCGAGGATGCTTTCACATCCGTAGAACTACAAAGCACTCGAGGGCCTGAAAAGGGAACCACGTACTCAGCTAGATTGTCGGCGCAGTTGCTCAGCTCTCTAAAATCAGTTATCATAAAGCATCTTTTGGGCATGGACTACATTGATTAGTCAACGACAGTTTTTAAGTTGGATCCAAACGCATGTAAAAGCTTGATGTAGCTGAGCCGGTCGACATTGACTGTTTGAATTCTCACTTATGTATGCAGTGGTATCCAAAAAATCAGGTTTCATTGACTTCGTAATTTCTCTATTAGTCAGCTCAACTCTTGTCATTTTCTGCCATTTGATCTCCATAATGACAGCCCCCATTCTTTTCATCTGTCCCCATGAACAGTCGGTTTTTATTCGCACCCTTCTTGAGGTAGGCTGATTGATCTGGCTACTCTAATCAATCCTATCATATTGCATTTTGAGACGAGGGTCATTTGCCGGGTCACTCGTTTGTTGAAAGAGTTCAGGCAAACGGATATCTAGTCGGCTTAAATATGGATAGAATTCGAATTCGCGTGACAAATACTGCTGATATGTTCAGTATGTGCTGTTTCTCCTCGTTGGGTCTTGTGTCCCAAATGTATGTGGTATTTATGTCTGGATTCTGCTGCTCACCGGTCGTTGGTTGCGTATTCATTCGAATGCCGCTGCCACTCACCATCCGCTGAGAAGTAGCATGAGAGCACGCAACGATGTGCTTCAATGGTGGGACTACCGAGTCGCAATTTGGTTGAATGAACCATTTCTGTGTGATTGGTCTTGACCGTATTACTCATTTGAAATTGGATGTTTCGTTTGCAACAAACTACTTAAGTTGCCTATTTGGCGTGGCTCACTTGAGTGCCAACAATCCAGCCACAAAAGTACCCTGCAACCCTTGGAGAATACCTCGACGAGCTTAATACCCGCAACTATCCGCAACTATGCAAAAGACAACTTGGCCTTAAGATGAGCCTTTTCCAATTATCTGTTTGCATCGATCAATTATTCCCATTGCCGCTATTTCCCACTTAAACAGCGTCACTTTCGTCGGAAACCCACTTCCTAACTTATAGCTCCTGGAATGCAAATTAAACGATTGAAACAACCAGTATTGTTATTGTTCTGCAGTGAGACGTGTTAACAAAAAAACAATCACTGGGTTCCAGCCTCAAACCCTGATTTATTTTTGTATGGAAATTCGGGTGCATTTTAGGTTAGTGAATACACACTTTCCTTGAATTTAGAATGTTGCTGTCCAAACCCTTGGACGATCTAGAGCACGTATTATCGAGGAGCTCCAGTATGAGCGGAAGTTGAATACACCACTGCTGGCTGACCAGAATAAGGGCTCCAGGACGGATGAATGCATGTTCAAACAATTGGTGTGGGAATAAAAATTCCACATATCTCACAAGAAGACATCCAGTTTGGAGAATTCTGGCTACTGTTGGTTGTTGGTCAGGTGGCTGTTGACCTGCTCGCCAAGCTTGGCGTTTGGCTTGCAAGCCTTTCATCAGTATACGAGAAGAAATCATCAGTTTGCAGTTTGGTGGCTATTAATCTACACAACCAATAGTCTTCATTCTTGAGGATTTCAAGGACAGTGCTTGGAAGTTGTTGCGTGTATGATTCGCAAACATCCACGTTAGGTGGCTTTGACCTGCTCGCCAAGCTTGGCGTTTGGCTTGCAAGCCTTTCATCAGTATACGAGAAGAAATCATCAGTTTGCAGTTTGGTGGCTATTAATCTACACAACCAATAGTCTTCATTCTTGAGGATTTCAAGGACAGTGCTTGGAAGTTGTTGCGTGTATGATTCGCAAACATCCACGTTTCAGACCAGTTGTATTTCTTACACTGCTACTCATGTACTTGAGTAGCTCATATAAAAGCCATCTATTTCTCTTCAATAACTCATTAAAAATCTGAACATCCCAAACTGCGTGGTGCTTTGATTAGCATCAAGGAAGCTAACAAGCAGGAAATTTAAGATATGTGTATCTCCAACAAAAAATTTCACGAGGTAAAATCTGAATTTCAGATAAACTTCGGTGATTCTTTTAAAACTGTCACTGAATTCCAGCCAAACCTCCTTTTATGACGCCGGATTAACCATTGCGTACAACTAAAATAATGCATGTTGCCCGTGACCGTTTTTATTTTGGCGTTACGTTTAATAAAATTTCTGTATTGCCAAAACTTAAGCACGAAACTGAGATCCACAGTGTTATGCACAAAAGTTTTAGGTAAAATGAAATACTGCGTTCTTTACGGACCATAAATTATCCTCACTTTAGCACCCCACTGGCAACACTTCGCCCGAAGTTTAAGAGCTAAAATTTATATATTCTATGGAATCCTCCGGGAAATCTGCGTTTTTTGTAAATATATGAAAGCAAAGTACAGGAAATGGCTCTCAAGACGAGCGTACATTATGGTTCAGAACACTCACCCGTACATGGGGATTTCCCTTTTACCCGGAGGACCGGAGGATAACTGATCAATCAAACTATAGAGTGCACGGATTCCATCAATTCTGGGGTTCTGATATTCTTCCATAGGTGTGTAATCTGTCAGACACTCCACGCCAGTCAATGAGAAAAATGTCAGTGTGCTCTTCTTCAGCCTGGGCGACCCCTTCAATGAAAAAAATTCTTCATAATATTTTCACCAGTCCAACAAAAGACAGTTACATTTGATCAAAAGGCGAAAAGCAGTAAGGTGCTGTGTTAGAGCGATTCATTTTGAAGCGTCAGTTGGGATAATGTTGATAGTATAATTTGGACCAACACTCACCTGGTTTAGTAAACCTCCCCAAAAGGCGAAAAGCAGTAAGGTGCTGTATTAAAGCGACTCATTTTGAAGCATCGGTTAGGATAATGTTGGCAGGATAATTTGCACCAACACTCACCTGGTTTAGTAAACCTCCATAGGGCACCGTACAGCCCAGAAGAGATACTCAGAAGAGACGATTTAAAGTACCGTTGTTCTACTCTTATCCTGCCTTTGGGGAAATTGGGCTGATCGTCATCAATGGCTCGTTGAATCTTCAACAACACCACTTTTGTAACACGCACAGATGCTTACTATAAATGCAAGTAAAATTTATATCTTTGGTCCACAGGCTTTATTCAAAGAATAAATAATGAACTATGCTTGAAGCATAGTCCTGGAAATCTTGGAAATCTTCTTGTTTCAGATAGCATTTTTGCGAGTTTGGCAAATACTTTACGCATTAGATTTGGCAAAAAGATACAAGGGCCATGTGAGATCAGAACATGCGTTTTTATTGGTTGATAGCAGTCTGTACGGCAATTTGTCTCGCTACAAGTATTTTATAACTTAACCTGAAATGATGAGCGTTAAGCCCTACATGACTAAGCATATTCTTAAGCCGAACTCAGTTATTGCATTCCGAGACGTGAATCATAGGATCGTAATTCAGGTATCAGATGTCCTTTCCAGTTTTAACTGCTGTAAAACAGGTAAATTAAAAGAATTTCATCACCTGCGATCAATGCGCCTTCTAGACCCATGGTTTCATTTGTGATACTCATGGTTGCATCAACTCTTGTGTAGATGATGTCCCGTATCAGAAGGACGTTTATAGGGCATAGAAGTTGGTAATGCAGAGCTGGTTCTTTGTGTTGGTTCGTACCTTGCTGATACATCCATTCCGCTATGAATCGACTACGATAAAATCCAGTAAATTGTTAGTCATGATAGTTTTCCTAAGGAATATAACCAACAGAAATAAAATTACAACTACTCATGAAAAGCCAGTGCGTTTTATTAAGAAATATATGATTGTTAGGAACTTACATTAGTTCAGCAGAATTTCGAACTACCCATGTTTTTTTGTAAATTTTGTGATGATCTTCCGTTCTTGGTGAGACACAATTGTCCTTTGGACAAACTGCAGGCTAATTTCAGATCCGGCGGACATTTTGTTTACCGTATTCCCCAACTAAAAGCTGGCACGATATGTCGTACTAGGAGTTCGTGAAAGAATATACCACTAACAAGGTTGCTGAAAGATTTCCGTGATCCCGTGACCAAATTTGCCCATTTTGGGCAGCGTCAAGCAGGCACAGTCCACATACTTCGTCACCTATATGTTCTACTTGTGTTCTTTCCTTCAACTTTTTGTACAAGTATCCTAACTCGTTTTGTAATTACCGCGACCAGATACTTTCCCCTGAATTTTAAGTTATGCACAGTGCAATACAGGCGTAAAAATCTATTCACCATTGATTACAGTCAGAGTAAATGCACAATAAATTCGGAAAATCTTTATGCAGATAGTCTGTCAAACACATTTCCTCATATGCCCCACCAGATGGTATCGCTGCCAACAGAAGTCTTTCCTAAATTACCGCAACTGGGAGAATGCTGTCTCAACGCATCGGAAGTGCGTAGGATTTCTACTACTGATTAGGGAATGCAGTAGCACCACAACCGTTCATTTTCTGGTGTTTCAGCCTGGAAATGACTGCAAACTAGACTAACGTCCACTGAATAGTTTTATGTCTGTAATCCTGAGTAATTTGATTATCCATCCCACCGGGTAGCCAGACTGAAGGCCGTATGAACTGCTCTTCTGGCGCCTTCTCGAAATCCACTGATCTGCCACACAACTTCTGTGGCTGTTGATTTGTCTTTCTGGCAGACAAATTTGGCTGCATTTGTTACGGTGCCATTCTAGGTAAAGTAGTCAGTGTATTCTGAGCCCAAGCTGGTGGATGTTTTCCGGGCATGATTTTCGTAGTGTTTACCAACACAAGCTGATTTTATCACATCACAGGTGGATGAGGTTCTTCACTGGCTTGAAAACTGACCTGTTGCATGGTCAAATAAATTGGAAGTGACGGTGGTCTGACCTCTCTGCTCATATGTAAGTGGGGGGGGGGGGGGGAATGGCCAAATTTTATTTGCGAGCGTATTGGTGAACAGGATTACGGTTGGATCTATTCAAAACTGTGTACCGAATGAAACTACACATTGATCAATTACCAGGTCACCACAGTAAAGAATCCATAATCGGCATGAACAATCACATTAAAATTTTATCTAATAACACGGGTATGAAGTTCATTGCATACAAACTCAAAGCGGAAAGAAAAAATGTTGAAATATACACTACAAGCCAACGGATATTTAAAAAAACTTATCAGGAGAAGCTAGAAACTAGGCATTTTAACAAAACAGAAAGGGGCCACCTAGAAGTGGAAGATTTTTTACATCAAAACACATCTAATTGCGCGTCAGAGTCACTGCTTTAGAAAGGAACCACAGCATTTCTAAAACATGCTGCTAAATACCATATAATGATTTCGCAGCCAAAGCATGGGGCGGACAAAGCTACAAAGAACAACGACACGCATCAATATCGACTGCACAGACTCAAACAAACACCACACTGGATCGGTCGGGATCAACTCCGTTACGCAGTAGAAGAAAGATAATACAGCCATCAAAAAACAAGACAAAATGTTCCACAGTTTTACATAAAAAGTTCCAGGATACAAGTTCAGTGTAGAATACGCAAGAATTTCGGCACGTGAAAATAATAACCAGGAGAGAGGAATACGTAAAAAATTAAGTCGGGCGACATACTGAAACTGGCCCTATATATGCATCGCTACAGACGAAGGACAGCAAGATTACTTAGAATAGTGAATAGAAACCAGCCATTAGACCAGCAGACCAAATGACAGGACTCAATCTTGAAACAAACAAACATAGGTAACACCGGTGTGTCTAGGGAGTTCAGGTTTCAAATTCGTTCCTACGTCAGCTTGTCAGTCAACAAGCCGGTAAAAATACCTATCCTATCTACCACTTAAGGCTGGCCCAGATGAGTTGACACTATGTAAATCCCGTAATGTAAAATATCTTTACACGTTCACCGAAAATGCTCTGATAATATCACCTGGGTCGGTGGAAAGACGTCCACAAAAATTGTCCGACTAGTGAACAAACGAGCTGTCACCATCAAAACCTGATCCAGAGTTCGTTAAGGAAACTTTACCAGTCTTAGTTTTTCCGGACACGTTTGTATCGGTTCAGATAGATTAGGTACTTGGTTTCATCAGAACAGTAAGTTTGGCCAACGTTTGTTGGATGTCAACGCAATCATAAATAAACTGAGCTAGGAACTTGAAATGACACCACCTACTGGATATGAATGCCCACGTTTATGAGGTGTCAAAAGTTCACCTTGCAGAGACCTGCCAGAACAGCTTTTTAGACAACTTCTTCGCACCACAAGATATGACTAAAAGCGTCCAGGAAAAAAATTGTACGCACAACTGAAATAATATAATTTCATCAAAATAAACATAAAATACAAGCCAAGCAACGCTTGCAAAATGGGCAAGAACGTGGAACCAGAATCATACAAAATAACAAAATTCTCTACAGACAGTTGGTAACCGAGTAGTGCTTTCGAAAAGTTCTAAGGAGCTTAGTGTGGCATTTTGGAAAGAAACAAATTCGTAAGGCGGGATTTCATCAATCAGCAAAACTCTGAAAACAAGATATTGCCGGTTCTGCGCGACAATGGATATTATACACGAAGTGCCCAGACGATTTGACTATGCTTGTCTTAATTTCGCTATAGGTACTTCTAAAGAGTGAATCTTAGCTCAAATACATGGCGCATGTTACACTGCCTTGTTCCCTACGCTTCTGAAAACCGGAGGTCCACGGGAATTTAAAAAAACATGTTGCCTTAATTAGACTCCTATGGACTCTGTAGCGTGGTTTTTTTAATCTGTTTTTAATATGAGATCATGTCAGCCCGAAATGTCCTTGATACTTTAAAGCCACAAGATGTGATTATTTAGGCTTGTTGCTCACTCATGGATATAGGACGTTTGCAGAGCTATTGTCGTTTCGTTGGAATGGTATCACAGTCAAGTTCCTTGTGCACTGCCAAAGGAGTAATACATGCTACTTGGAGATGTCACCAGTGATGAATGTAAGGCTGATATGTTTATTGTGAAGGCTCCTAAATCCTCAATGGCTAAACCTATGTTTCAATAAGATGTTTGCGGTCACACCAGTAATCTCGTCATCGTCGCTACCAAAATTAGCATCGTCAGTGTAGATACTAACCAATGCGTAAAGTGTGCTTACTTTTCCCCCATGTCCTCCTCACTATAGCACTTGAGGTAGCCGACTAGCAAGATACGTTGTAAAATAAGCAGCTTGAATCTTTCTGCTCAAACCCGGGAACACCATTATATGATACACACCATGCTATTTTACGTGTAACAGCATTTAGGCCTTGGACTACCAACAGTTTAACTATAAAAATAGAGCAACATTACTTCGGAGTTGAGCAGTACGACATTTAAGGGAGTTACAAGCTAAATGAACATGGCTGAACCGATTGGATTATTTTGTCGGCAAGGATGCTTTGACGGCCAACTGGTGGAAAGAATCTGCAGTTTGTTCACATTCGAAGCATAAGTATATATTTGCACAGTTTTATCTTTTGTGCTTAAGCTTCAAATATAATAGGCTGTGCTGATTAGAAAACGCGGATCCTTTGTCGTACATATTTTCAAGGAATTAATCGAAATTTCCCTTTAATGTAGGACATCTAATGTTCGCTTTTTCATTTATTCACTTTCTTATACATTTTTAAATGGAGGATTGGATTAGTGTCAGCCAGTTTTCGTACAGTGTACTGGAATAAATAAATCAGATGGATTACTCTTCCGGTGCCTATCTGCCATGCAACTTGACGGAAGAACGAGAGCTGAGATACTGCCAGGTTGCCCAAGCCTAGACAGAGGAAGTCGAGAGGAAGGGGTCTAGTTCGAACCACGGACCATTTGGTCAGTAAATTCGACCTCTAGCCAATTGAGCCATCTCTGCAAGAACATTCTTGTTTAGCTGTAAGCCACGAGAATACATTATGAACACTCAAAAGAATGTCTCACAAGCTGGATGCTCACTGTGGAAATGAATGTGCACTAGTTCGTGCAAATACTAGTGAGCACAGATTTACGCTTTAACAGAACGAGCTGTTAAACTTGATTTCTAGGACATGGAATAAAAATTTCGCCAGCTTCAAATCGGTACGTGTAGTAAGGGTGGCGCATTCATCCACCTTGTCGGTAGTCGAACCGTTTGAATCCGTTCGCAGGTGTGTCAGCTTCACAAGAGGGCAAACTTTGCTGAATATTTTACACAGGATCTAGTTTTTTTGTAGTTACCACACTTAAATGAGAGGCACGAAATAGACCGTGGAATCTGAGTGAACTTTGGTATCAGCGATGCCCTGCAGAAAGCGTCCGTCATACAAATTTGTGCTCGCTGCATTCTTTTTTGCAAAACTAAGTCGGCATCTTATTGGACAAATGATCAGATGGTGCATTCTTCTTCAAATGTTTTGATGACTGGATGCAGCTGACGAAGTGGCTAAATGCAATTAGGCATTTTTTACTGTAAGAACCGAGGTGCAAAAATTTACTAATTTTCCCTCTAGCACAACGGACGAAAAAAAGTTGGTTTGCGCTGGAATTAATTATTAGTTCAGTTAGTCTATATGTATGTTGGTGACCGCTGCCTCCTTCGTTCTTAATAAAATAACATAAGACCACTGCATTTGTGGTTAGTCAACTCACACGATGCGAAATATGGATTTATCCTAATAATTTGCTGATGCTTGTTATTTTGCCTTATTTTTAAGTCATAACACACTAAACAAGTTTAATCATCATTCGAGGGAATGAATCAGAAACCCTGAGATAGTGGACTCTCGACTGGATGGCCTTTTTAGACAGAAAGGAATATATAACTCTGTTTCTACTGATGATACAAATATCACTTAAAATTAATATTTTAAAAAAATTAAAGGAGGCAAATTATGTCGGAAATTCAAAACATAGGGCAAAACAATATTATTTTTGTTACTGTTGCATTTCTGAGCGCCGATGTTGGGGCATTTCGTTTTTCTCTAAACTTGAATTGATGCCTTGACCCAATCTTAAATACCCGGAGACCTTTGCCACACTCGATGGACAGTAGCAGGTTGGTGACCACACCTCTTTGTAACACAACATTTTTTCACTATTTATACTAATCACATTGTGTGGTGTGCGAAAGCCGAAATGTTTGTTTTTGATCTTAAAAGGATTTTATTTTGCTCACTTATTCCTCTTGTCTGCATTTTATAAACAGCGTTTTTTGGAAAAAATCTGAGATTGCCCCCGATGCTGCAAAGAAAATATTTCTTCTGCCACTTTTACTCCACTGGATTCGGAGGTGCTTCCTATAGATCGACCTACAATAAGTCCTGGTTTTAAATCTACCAAACCGTTATGCTACATTAAGAAGACTGATGACGAAGATCAAGTTGTGGCTGCTCAAAATAAGAGGACTTAGTCCACAAATCTCTGTATGCAGATTTCTTGCGCGTCCGTGAGCTGTTCTGTTTTAATAACCCTAGCTTGCGTAAACATAACTAGATTCCAAACCTCCGGGAGCGAGTACTAGTTCACGATTAATTACAACAACAGAGAATACATACCACTAACATATAAGTCATTACCGAATCAGTATGATTGCTATCGCGTAATGAATAATGGGATACCAAGCGCTTTATTTCTTGTTTGAAGTCTGTGCAAGAAATTCTGCCAGTTATCCAACATTCCGTCTGCTCACCTATTTTTTCCGGAATTTTTTAGTGTTCTGAACGCATTTTTGTTCAAAAAGTTATACTCATAAACAAGAACAATTGCATTCTTCCCTTCAATAGAATTAGTTGCCTCATTTTATGAACGAATCCTGTAAATTGTACTCCAGAGCGCTGTACGTCCAGCTTTTTGGCTTCTAAATGTTTCTTGTCTCGTAATAACGTTGGATATTTAATTGCTTCACTTTTCGGACGGGCCATCTTGCAGGTTTGTTACTCTTACACCACGTTTTCACGTTTTGCTTGTTTATATCTCTAAAACGGTCTAACTTACAAATGAAAGTAAACTGAAGTCACAAATTACGCGTCGCCTTGCGTATATCATAATAAAATTATTACAGTGAAAATACTTAGTCTACTAGCTGGGTTAACTCGCTCCCTAAGGAACTACCAACAACTAAGAGCTTACACGTTAAGCTTCGTCCGTTTTGGCAATATTTATGTAATGCATCGTCTATTATTATAGCCAATTTGACGACAAATTGCTTGTATCCAGCGTCATTATATAGATTAAAGAAATTATAGAAAGTAGGTTTGATGACAGAACACACTTTATCCGGTGGGAAAAAGATAAGATAGACTTTTAATATTTAATATATTTTGGTACTCATTAAACAACTGCGGCCTTACACAGTTTTTTTTTATCAAGAGTGGCGCAGAAAACGTCAGTTGTTCTCTAGTAGATCCCGCAACATTTTGGTTTGATTATGTTTCTTCACTGTGGACCCACCTGTCTCTTTTCGTCCTACTTCAACATCAAGTATAAAAAACAGCTTCACCTTAAGTGATTTGGTGAATCCGCACAGCAAAGATAAGGTAAATGTCTTTCTTGCTATAGTTATTCTATGACTGTTGTAGGAAAGACAGGTATAGTATTTTATGAATTTCTAAAGTTTGACGACGCTTGGGGGTGTGTGAATTTAGCTTTATTGATGTAAACCTGATATGTGCACCCCAAAGCAGCAATCGTAATTGGGATGTGAATTTTCAAAATGGAAAAATAGTGCGCCATAAATTTGCCACAAATCTCACGACCATTCTTAGAGAACGCAAGATCAGCATTGGGTGTGAAACTTTATACTTTTAGAGTGCTTTGTGGAATCGCGGACAAAGGTAAAAGCGGTCATATTTGAGTCACTCTGATGATCTTCGGTGAACTTTTGGCAGTTGTTCAAGTTGTAAAATGGAAAGTATGATTAGTGTCAATATTAAAACCAGAAGAGAATACACCGCGCTGCCATATATATCTTGTCGAATTCTGTTCAATTGACCACAATAAAACTTTAGGAGTTGTTCGCTTTTACGGGGAACCGAAAAGAAATATTTTACGGCGCTTTCTCAACACAAGGGTAACCTTTTAGCGGCGCATAAGTAAAGGTGGTTTTCCAACGCATTTTTTAAATCTGTGTTGGGATCCGATATTAGGGCACTTGCAGTGACTTTACCTGATGTAGAATAGATTCCTCTGTGAATAAATTCAAACAGCGCAAGCATTATGGTCATTTTTCAGAATGGTGTCAAAAGTATAAACTGATCAGCACTGCAGAGAAATCAGGGTAAGTTATAACCGTTAGCACGAACCGTTAGCTTCGGACTGTATCAGATACGTGTTCACTTTCACGTAAAGACTGCATGACGCATGTGTCTTCTGTATTAGCTCGAAAATTTTACTTAGTATTTCATGCACGTTTACAAAAGTAGACAGAAATCTTCAATGTGCTAAGTCCAAAGTCAGAGAGGCCAGCAATAGAGTAAGGACCACTCGTTTTTTACCAAAGCAGAAAAAGTGAAGAACATTTATTGAACGAAATGCAAAACCTAGGCACCAGCAGTTAACGAGGCCGAGTGAAAAAACTTTCTGCACTGGTCTGCAAATATCATGGATTCAATCTGATTTTATTGTTATAATTCATTGGTCAAATACCATATTCGTGCATTGCTTTTGTTTCTAAGAGCACATACCGTGTAACAGAGAGGGTTCAGTTACAAAATAAAGCCCCATGCTTTAAGCTCCTCGAGTTGTACCCACTGACTCTTTAGAACAGTGGAAAAGGCGTAGAATCAAATACCGCCTCTTCATAATGGAAACAGTTCAAATTCCTACTGGGTCAACACCCGTTGAGGTGGCATCAGCATAGTAGCCTCCACACGCCTAACAACCCAAACGCTGATTAGCGGAGAACAAAGCGAGAAAACATACCCGCATCTAACAACCAGAATCACGGTCCTAGTACTGAGATAATCACTAGCGCGATAACATCGACGGGACAAGCTACTTACCGGAAGAAACAAAACACGCAGAAAGAATCCAGCTGGATCAGTATTAGCATGGCCATCTAGCGTGTAAGCCAACGTGAAATACCGTTTCATGATCTCTTGGTATCTACCCAGAGCAACATGAACTGTATGAATAGGTGTTGTGACCAAACCCTGAGAGTCATCAGTATTTGGAAGCATTTGACTCACCTTAATAACCGGACCATCTTCAATGGTGCTTAGGACTTGCAGCTCACTCGATTCATCAGCATCCGTATTCTGTAAATCGACTATTTTCTCCGCTTGTACAAAAAATGATTGCAGAAACAATTTCGGTGAATGTTCTTTCGAAGTTGAAAGTGCATAGCTGTATTTGTATTGATCTGTCCAAGCTAATCACGACTTTGAATTTTTCACCTTGATTCAACTGTTCAAAAATATCTTGCAATCCAAGTTGCATTAAACCTTGCACTTCGGTCGCGTGACCATGCAATAGAACATTTTGTCCCGAATTACTTTCACCCATTGAGAATAAACAAGAATTAAACCCGCTCACGAAAGCGGTTACAAGTGGTTTCAAATTTTTTTCGAAAGTTTCCCTCAAACTGGTTGAACAGTCAATGATATCTTTAAAGCTAAGAAAAATGGGGTGGAGTTTTCCAAATTACTGGCAGCTGCTCCCTCCACTATCACTGTAAAGAGTGAATGAGTGTTCATCAAGCATCTCATTATATTTTTTGTATGAAAAGTTGTATCTTGCAATAACCTCTATTTGCATTTCTTTGCTTTGACCTTGAGATTTAATTTCGTACGCTCTGCTACCAGTGGCTTCTAATTGGGTGATTATGATGAACTAAACTACAGACGAAATTGGAGCTCGGTAATGAAAGCAAACTCAAACCAACAAACCTTCAGACGAAATTAGAGCTCGGTAATGGAAGCAAAATCAAACCAACACGAGAATAGAACACCCGATAACCACAAAAATACCCATTCACGGACTGGTTTCGCCCGATATTTTTGACGCTCATAACGTAAAGAAATGAATGAATATCTGCACTGAACTCCCAATTTCACGGGTTGAAACACAGGATCGAGGCTATTTCCCAAGTTTCCCGGGTCGCTTTTGTTCTTGTCGGTCAATGGCTGTCGTTCACCTGGAAGACACATGTGAAAAAGGGGTGTAGCACTGCTCTTTATGTTTTCGGCGCGGGGCAGTATGCTTGCAAGCGCGAGGATTCGCATAAATAAATGTCTAATAGTGCTTTAAACTGGGTTCTAGGAGCGTGAACAACCGTCGGAGGGAGGTCATTCCACGCAGCTACTACCCGAAGTGAGAAACAAATTTGTCTAGTGAATGTATGTGCTCTGAGCTTGAAAATCTTACTATGTCTCCGTCGTGTGTTTGCTGGATCAACGGTGAAAAACCTCTTGGACACGCTTTGTTCAAAAGGGGAAAAAGAGCGAATTAGAACCCTCGGAGGCGACGAAACTCCAAGGGATAGAAATCAAGCATCGCAAGGCGCGTTTCGTAGTCCACAGATTTGAGGCCGGCAACAATTCTCGTAGCGGCTCGCTGGACACGCTCAATGAGTAGACAGGACCAGTTTACCTAGGCCCCTTAGGGTATTTAGAAATCCATGCGAGTAATAGGGGAGAAGGTGCGCCGGATTAACTGTAAAATGGCGAGTGCATTTTGAACGGATTTCTTATGGTGCGGTGAGAAGAGCAATTTTGAGAAGACCCAGATACCAGAATCCTTTTTGGCGTCTATCTCCACGATGTTTTCTGGTCCTTTCTTAACATGCATAATAAAGGCACTCGCTGAGTCTCGTCCAAACGACATATGGACGCACTTTTTTATTCATAGGAATGTGCCAGTCCAACGACCACTGCTTTGGAGACCCTACATTCATTCAGAGGGCGCTGGCATTGAAGTTCAAGTCATCCGAAAAAAGTAGGCCTGGATTCGAAAGCAAATCTGGAAGGTCGTTGAAGTACATCAGAAACAGCAGTGGTCCCAGAACGAAGCCTTGAGAAACTCCAACGGAGACCGACGCTGGAGAAGAGTAATTGGCACCTACCTTCAGTAGGGATGATCTCTCTGATAGAAAGGCCTTGATCCAGTGAAAGATTTTCTCTTGAATCCCATAAGACTGGGATTTGTGGAGCGGCGGGAAGTGTGAGAACATCAAATGCCCTCGAGAAGTCGAAAAATATGGCACCCGATATGAGTCCCTCGTCCTCGGCCTGCGTTAGGCTGTCCATAAACACGAGCATGTTTGTCACGGAAGAACGGTTTGGGAGAAACTGATGTTGAGCTGGAGATATCAGGTTGCTGAAAGTAAGATGATCTAAGATATCTCGCATCAGAATGCTTTCCATTACCTTGCACGACACGCCAATGGGGCTCATAAGCCTGTGGCTTTCAGGCAATGGTCGGCCGCCAATTTTGTAGACTGACATAACAATTGCTTCCTTCCAAGCAGACGGAAGTTGGCCTTCGTCAAGCGGCTGACGAAACACCAGGTATAAATTATTTGCCAGAGTAAATGACGTTTCCTTTAGGATCCTCGGATGGACCTCAGTATACCTCAACGCGCGGAATGGGTTAATCTTGTGCAAGAGTTGACGAACGTCCCTCACCTTGAAGACCAAGTTGGTTAGAGGCTGTTCGTAGTTCCGCCTTGACAATAGTGGATGTGACGAAGACGCAGGGGCTGAGTATAGACAGGCATAGTGTTCTCTGTAAACCTCAGATACCGCTGTTGGGTCACTCTTCGGTTCTCCGTTTCTGTCCCTCGAGGAGAACGCGGATGGCTTGCTTCTGCGGCGATGCGATTTCCCTTTGAACAGTATTCTTCTTTTTTCCCGGGCGAGGTCAAAAATGGTCGCCTGTTTTCTTATTTTCCAAAGACGGGTTTATGATTTGAAGCGGCTACGCATTTTGCGTGTAATTACGTTTTTTAAAGAAATTTAGGAAGAGGTGTTTGGAAGGAGGTGGGGTTTACTCAGTTGAACCTGACTGGGCGTGTTCGGGACCAGTCAAGGCGTATTCAAAACCGACGGTAGAGGAGTGGATGAGTAAAGGAGGTCCACCCCTGTGGCAAAAGGTGGGGTATGAGGCTCAGTATGGGCAAGGAATATATTTGAAAGGATGTTGTGAGGATTATTGAAGAGTTGTTAGACATGCGGCATTTTGCGTCGTCAGAAGGCGAGAAAGAGGCGGTGTAGAAAGAGGTGGTTGGTGAGGGGGGTGGGCGGTAACTGAAAATGGCGTTCACCTGAATGAAAGTGGGTCAGAAAAATGTCGGAAGCAAATAAGTGTCTAAGCTGGCATCTGGTCGTTGCGAATACAAGGCTTTACAAAGCACATGGTACGCGTTGTCTGATGTATTTACCACATAATCGTGGAGAGACCGGAGCAAAGTCGGGTTACCAAGTGATTTATGATATACATATTTTCGGGGGTTCAGTTGACCTGGTGTTACTTAATGAGGCNTTTCGGGGGTTCAGTTGACCTGGTGTTACGTAATGAGGCTTCTGCAGTGAATGCTCGAGTCCGAAGGCATGTGTTCGAGGAGCTGGAGCATGGACAGAAAGAGGGCCACAATGGCTGTAACGATACCAATGCTTTCAATTGGCGGTGGAGCCGCTGCTGTGGATGAGAGATGTGTCACATAAGTGTTTTCAGGATCCAACGAGAGTTCAAAATGGCTGATGCAAACATCCGTAGTTTTAACGAGGGTAAGGCAAGAAGCCCGCTCGTAAAAGCGATGGTGCTCAGAGTCGTTGGAGGCCGTGAGGATAAAAACCAGTGGGTAGGTTTCCATGTTTGTGTTGCTGGGAGTAATCATGGTGCGCTGAGAATATGGGAGTACGATTGGAATGTACACGTAAATGCTAGTGGTTGATGAAATAACACATTTGGTTACGACAGTGTATGGGCCCAGATCAAAGGGGATGAAGTCTGGCCGATGGTGTGAGATAGGACATTTTATGGTTTCATTCACATATGTGCCAGTAATGTGCACGTATTTCAGGCTAAGCACTTACCGATCATATGGGAGTTTGGGCATATAGAGGGCCGGTATGGTCGGTTTGGCTGANTTTCGGGGGTTCAGTTGACCTGGTGTTACTTAATGAGGCTTTGGCAGGGAATGCTCGAGTCCGGAAGCATGTTTTCGAGGAGCTAGAGCGTGGACGGAAAGAGGGCCACAATAGTTGTAACGGGACCAATGCTTTCAATTGGCGGTGGAGCCGTTGCTGTGGATAAGAGATGTCACATAAGTGTTTTCAGGATCCAACGAGAGTTCAAACTGGCTGATGCAAATATCCGTAGTTTTAACGAGGGTAAGGCAAGAAGCCCACTCGTAGAAGTGATGGGGCTCAGAGTCGCTGGAGGCCGTGGGGTTAAAAACCAGTGGGTAGGTTTCCATGTTTGTGTTGCTGGGAGTAATCACAGTGCGCTGAGTATATGGGAGTACGATTGGAATGTACACGTAAGTGCTAGTGGTTGATGAAACAACACATTTGGTTACGACAGTGTATGGTCCCCAGGTCAAAGGGTATAAAGTATGGCCGATGGGTTGAGATAGGACATTTCATGGTTTCATTCACATATGTGCCAGTGATGTGCACGTATTTCAGACTAAGTACTTACCGGATTTTGGGCATATAGAGGGCCGGTATGGTCGGTTTGGCTGATCCGACGTGGAACATGATAGTTGGTCTGACAGTTAATGAGACTAGCTGCCATCCGAGTGATAAGTGTGACATCAGAACGAGTTGTAGGACAAGGATATAAAATGGGCACGGAGACTACTGCAGCTTCGAATGTTTAAGGGGATTCCGGTAGAAAAGGGGACAATGTGTTGAGCAGTGAGAGGTATTGGATGAAATAATAATATTAAAAGGTTTCTTTCGCATCTTGTAGGGAACAATGAGCATGAGGTCCGACTAGCTCAAAGACTCAGCCGGCTGACATGAACTAAAACTGAAAAACATTACTGGCCGTGAGTGACCTTGGGCGGTTAGGTAAATGACCGGATTTACAACGAACAAAAGGGGCTGCTGGCTGTTCGCACAATGAGACTGATTTCTCGAAGTCTACGGCAGTTTCAGACTTGGCACTTCATAGTGTAGGATGTCTATGTATGATGTATATGATCCTGTATTAGTGAATGGCGATTTGTTTAAGTGAGCGAATTCTCAAGGTCAATAAACACCAGCGACCGCGAATAAGTTGCTTGATGATAAAAAATCGCGAATTGTGGTAAACGTTGACTGACATACAATGGACGTAACTTTTAGGTATTTTTCCACCGGAAAAAATTCCCTCAGCATTCTAGGACCTGAATGGCATTTGGATATGCAACATATGCGTGGGCACATTCGTTTAAACAAATTTTGGTCGATGATTCTTTGTTGCCAGCGAAAATTCCGTAGTGTACGTTAATTATTTGCTAAACGTTTATGTTTGCTGACAAAAACCGGAGATTTCCAGTATAGGTTGCGAATTATGCTAGGAAGGCCTCAAGGGTTATCGATTATGAACATGGAATATACGTCAATAATAGCGGACAGCTGAACGAATCTAACCGACGCACACGACTGACATGCGGCTAGGGGTACACGATGCCTAACTAACTAGCCACATAGAACCAACGTCGAGCATACCAGACAGCTGAACGAACCTAACCGACGCACACGACTGACATGCGGCTAGGGGTACACGATGCCTAACTAACTAGCCACATAGAACCAACGTCGAGCATACCAGACAGCTGAACGAACCTAACCGACGCACACGACTGACATGCGGCTAGGGGT